GATACATCGCTGTGTAAATAATGCTATCTGGCTCGTGAGGATGAAACCCTCTCCAGGAGGGCAATGTTTCGCTCAGATCTTCATAAAGCTGCCATCATGATTCACGTGGTTTGTTGCATAAAGATCTACACTGAACGAAACGTCGTATGGGATTTAGTTCCTATTTGATCACACTGGTAGGGTGGCACCATTAAATTGTAGGTAGAAACGTCAACACTAATCAAGACATTTATTCAGGAAGCGTTTCGCCACTAGTGGCTTATCCACTCCCGAAGGAGCCATTCGTGGCGAAATGTTTCGTGTTGACGTGCTTTTTCTTAACCTACATAAAATTCTCAACACAAATCAGTTTGTAAAGAATATTGGCGAGAGAGGTGGGATACAGTGCGTCTCAAGAGAGTTCACAATACACAGAGAGTCTTAAAGAGCTACAAAGAGTTTGAAGCCACATATAACCCGAAGAGTCACGTGGAATTCTCAGAGCCACATAGAAGGTGAAGAGTTTACCGGCTGGCACTGGGAGCCCAGGGTGACATGGGGCGTGCAGTGCCAGGAGTCGTACTTCGAAGAGTCGTTAAGAGTTTGAAGTAAGAGTTTGAAGAGAAATGGAGAGTCATGAAGAGCTTGAAGAGTCATGAATAATTTGGAGAGTCGTGAAGAGTTTGGAGAGTCATCGTTAAGAGAGCAAGAGTCTGGGCAGGTTGGATGACCTTTATATAATGAAAGTGTTATGTTAGGTAACCGTAAGAACAGGGAAGGGGAGTGCCAGGCACCAGGCTGGCACTGTGAACCCAGAAAGACACGGGGAGGGCAGTGCCAGGGGCCAGATTGGTACCGTGAGTCTAGGAAGACATGGAGAGGGCAGTGCCAGGCATCAGGCTGGCACTGTGAGCGCAGGAAGACACGGGGAGGGCAGTGCCAGGCATCAGGCTGGCACTGTGAGTCCAGAAAGAGACGGGAAGGGCAGTGCCAGGCTCCAGGCTGAAACTGTGAGTGAGCAGGTGCTAGAGGAGAGTGTCCTGCCAGAGGTGTGCGGACTTCCTACAGAGTGCAGGCACAGTACTTCTCACCTCCATTCATCTTACAGAGTGCAGGCACTTACTTCTCACCTACACTCGTCCTTCGGAGTGCAGGCACTGTACTTCTCACCTACACTCATCCTTCAGAGTGCAGGCACTGTACTCATCTCCATTTATGCTTCAGAGTGCAGGCACTCTACTTCTCATCTCCATTTATTTTTCAGAGTGCAGGCACTGTATTTCTCATCACCATTCATTCTTCAGAGTGCAGGCACTGTACTTCTCATCTCCATTTATTCTTCAGAGTGCAGGCACTGTACTTCTCATCTCCATTTATTTTTAAGAGTGCAGGCACTGTACTTCTCATCTCCATTTATTCTTCAGAGTGCAGGCACTGTACTTCTCATCTCCATTTATTCTTCAGAGTGCAGGCACTGTACTTCTCATCTCCATTCATTCTTCAGAGTGCAGGCACTGTACTTCTCATCTCCATTCATTCTTCAGAGTGCAGGCACTCTACTTCTCATCTCCATTTATTTTTCAGAGTGCAGGCACTGTATTTCTCATCACCATTCATTCTTCAGAGTGCAGGCACTGTACTTCTCATCTCCATTTATTCTTCAGAGTGCAGGCACTGTACTTCTCATCTCCATTTATTTTTAAGAGTGCAGGCACTGTACTTCTCATCTCCATTTATTTTTCAGAGTGCAGGCACTGTACTTCTCATTTCCATTCATTCTTCAGAGTGCAGGCACTGTACTTCTCATTTCCATTCATTCTTCAGAGTGCAGGCACTGTACTTCTCATTTCTATTCATTCTCCAGAGTGCAGGCACTGTACTTCTCATTTCTATTCATTCTTCAGAGTGCAGGCACTGTACTTCTCATTTCTATTCATTCTTCAGAGTGCAGGCACTGTACTTCTCATTTCTATTCATTCTTCAGAGTGCAGGCACTGTACTTCTCATTTCTATTCATTCTTCAGAGTGCAGGCACTGTACTTCTCATTTCTATTCATTCTTCAGAGTGCAGGCACTGTCTCACTTCCACCCATCCTTCAGAGTGCAGGCACTGTCTCACTTCCACCCATCCTTCAGAGTGCAGGCACTGTACTTCTCATTTCCATTCATTCTTCAGAGTGCAGGCACTGTACTTCTCATTTCCATTCATTCTTCAGAGTGCAGGCACTGTACTTCTCATTTCCATTCATTCTTCAGAGTGCAGGCACTGTACTTCTCATTCCATTCATTCTTCAAGTGCAGACTGTACTCTCATTTCCATTCATTCTTCAGAGTGCAGGCACTGTACTTCTCACCTACATTCATCCTTCAGAGTGCAGGCACTGTACTTCTTACCTACATTCATCCTTCAGAGTGCAGGCACTGTACTTCTCACCTACATTCACCTCAGAGTGCAGCACTGTACTTCTTACCTACATTCATCCTTCAGAGTGCAGGCACTGTACTTCTTACCTACACCCATCCTTCAGATGCAGGCACTGTACTTCTTACCTACACCATCCTTCAGGTGCAGGCACTGTACTTCTCACCTACACTCATCTTCAAGTGCAGGCCTTGTGCTTCTCACCTACACTCATCCTTCAGAGTGCAGCACTGTACTTCTTACCTACATTCACCTTCAGAGTGCAGGCACTGTAGTTCTTACTACACTCTCCTTCAGAGTGCAGGCACTGTACTTCTCACCTACACTCATCCTTCAGAGTGCAGGCACTGTACTTCTCACCTACACTCATCCTTCAGAGTGCAGGCACTGTACTTCTCACCTAACTCATCCTTCAGAGTGCAGGCACTGTACTCTCACCTACACCCCATCCTTCAAGTGCAGGCTTGTGCTTCTCACCTACACTCATCCTTCAGAGTGCAGGCACTGTACTTCTTACCTACATTCATCCTTCAGAGTGCAGGCACTGTACTTCTTACCTACACTCATCCTTCAGAGTGCAGGCACTGTACTTCTCACCTACACTCATCCTTCAGAGTGCAGGCACTGTACTTCTCACCTACACTCATCCTTCAGAGTGCAGGCACTGTACTTCTCACCTACACTCATCCTTCAGAGTGCAGGCACTGTATTTCTCACCTACACTCATCCTTCAGAGTGCAGGCACTGTACTTCTCACCTACACTCATCCTTCAGAGTGCAGGCACTGTACTTCTCACCTACACTCATCCTTCAGAGTGCAGGCACTGTACTTCTCAACTCTAGACCTAAAGTTCGCCAGCTGTTGAAGTTTCAGTAACAATCTCAAACCAGATTCACACAGCATCATGGGGAGGTGATGCAAGCCTTCGCACACCTCACTCATAAGTTTTTGCTACTGGCTATTATAGTTTTTCTGAGACACTGGCATAGCGTTTAAAGCGTCGAAAGCTAGATCTGCGCAAGCAAGCTGTTGGCAGCGGAATACTGTGTGCATTTTATAATGTAAATCTTGTGTTAATGAGTAAGCATAAATACATCATACAAATATATAAACACAGCTATAATATAGTTGATACTGGTGAAAGGTTTTCCACCCCAGGGTTGTGGCTCTCAAGATTGTCAATAAGGTCGTAAGACTCGTATAGAAAGATACATAACATGATTCTAGGGAAAAAAAAAGCTAGTGTAGCAGTGTGCTCACCTGTTTGTGGTTGCAAGGGTCGATTCACAGCTCCTGGCCTCACTTCTTCGTTAGTCGTTACTAGGTCTACTCTCTTTCTGCTCCGAGAGTCTTATCGTACCTCATCTTAAAGCTATGTATGGATCCTGCCTCCATTACTTCACTCTCCAGATTATTCCACTTCCTGACAACTCTAAGGCTGAAGAAATGCTTCCTAACATCCCTATGACTCAGCCTGAGTTTTTAACTTCAAGCTGTGTGCCCGTGTTCTTGTGTCACATTTCTGAAACATTCTGGCCCTATCCACTTTGTCAGTCCTTCTCAGTATTTTATACGTCGTTATTATGTCTTCCTTATTTCTCTTGTCCTCCAGTGTCGCCACACTGAGTTTTCTTAACTCCGGAACTAGTGTTGTGGTAAACTTTTGCCCTTTCTCCAATTTCTTGACATGTTTGACCGGGTGCGAGCACCATACTGGTGCTTCATACTTAACTATGAGCCTGACGAACACGGTGTAGTGTCGTGAATGATTCCTTAATTAGATGTCGAAATGCTATACTTAGATTTGCCAGGTGCCCATATTGTGAAGTGGTTATTTGGTTGATATGCGCCTCAGGAAATGCGATCGGTATCAGGCTCACTCGAAGATCCTTTTCCTTTAGTGAGTTATTCAGTCTTTGATCCCCCTAGGCTGTACTCCGTCTGCGGTCTTCTATGTCCTTCTCCAAGCTTCATGACTTTGTACTTGGTGGGCTTAAACTCCAGGAGTCATTTGTCTGACCAAGTCTGCAGCCTGTCCAGATCCCCTTCTGTTTTCCTGATCCTCGTCCGCTTGTATTGTCCTCATTAGCTCACGTCTTCTGCGAACAGAGACACATATGAATCTATCCCTTCCGTCCTGCTATTCACACATACAAGAAACAGCACCGAACCTCGGACTGACCCCTTGTGGAACCCCACTCGACACATGCACCCACTCTTATACCTTGTCTCGTACCAACACACGTTGTTTTCTTCCTGTCATTGTGTATGTGTGTGTGTGTGTGTGTGTGTGTTGACACTGTCACTGGGTTTCTCATGTAAGAAACTTATGTTGACATTTAATTCGTGTCCCTGACAATTTTTTGTCAAGGACACAAATTAAAATTGAATATATTTTCCTTTCTCTCTCTTGATAATGGTCCAGGACAGACTGAAAAAAAGTGTAAACTTTTCATTTTCAATTTGTTGATTAGAAATTTGGAAATTATTTGACCAAACATGACTTAAAAACAATATCATACTCCTAGACTGTGCTAAATCTATAATTTAACACTGAGAAATAAATATGACTTAATAGTTTTATTATTTGTCAGTTGACGATGTGCCAAAGGTCGTTGCTGCTGCTGGTGGTTGTGGTAACGTGGGCAGGATGGGCAGGAGGGCAGACGTCTCAGTACTGCAGCTTCACGCCCAAACACACCATGTGCAAGTACTCCAGCGTGGGGCCCAGATGCGGCTCCAAGGTGCAGACACGTGGTGTGGGCCCCAGGGAAGCAGCAGACATAGTGCATCAGCACAACCAACTGAGGTCCAGGGTGGCCATGGGCCAGGAACGGCGAGGAGTGCCCGGACCTCAACCCAAAGCTGCTAACATGAAACTCATGGTAAGTAGCGGTCAGCTATGTCAACCACGTATTTATACGTCATGTGAGCAATGTTTTGATTCGAAATGGGAGTCTTGTATTGATACAACATATGAAAGAAATCATAATGCATCATTGGCATTGATATATCTAGTGCTCAATGTGTTAATACATCATGAGCACAACATATCAGCATGTCATGGGCTCAACATATTAATACATCATGTGGCAAGGTAGGAACGCACCATGGAAGCAACAAGTAATACGCATGAGCAACGTATTAATACGCTATTTGTCTAACATACTCTATAGCTAAGTGACTGACGATATTACCACAAAAAAAAGACAAAATATCTAATATTAAAATTGCATTTCAGATTGTCATGCTCCTGAAGATCTCTTGCTATTCTTAAGTATCAATTTTTTAAGGTTGAAAATGTATAATATAAACCTATAAAGTTTAATGACTGAGATTCTGGCAGCCTAAGTAGTGGTGCTGGAAGATGCTGTTGCTGGTACACTTCTGTTAGAAGACTATCTTCAGGGACTTGCAGTTGTGGTATCAGAGAACTGTAAGTATTTAAATTATTATTATAATAAAAAAGAAGCTCTAAACCATAAGGGCTATACAGCGTAAGTATTTAAAGGTATTGAGGTAGGAGATTCATTTTCAGTATCTGCTGGTGTGTTATTAGAGCTCTTACTGTATCCACAGGTGTGGGATAAGGAGCTGGCGGAGGTCGCTCAGAGGCATGCTGATCAATGTCTCTTTAAACATGATTGTGCAGACTGCCGTCGTGTCTGTGAGTCTTCTCTCTGTATTGATGTTGTGTGTGTGTGTGTGTGTGTGTGTGTGTGTGTGTTTGTCTCTACACACTGGGATTTTTTTATATAAATTCGTTCTCTTGCATTTTCCGTATTTGAACAGTTGCTGATAAACAACTCTCTGAAACCGTGTGGGTTATTGAAGTCAAAATGCTCATATTTATACAATGTATTGTTCAAGTAGATGCCTTCACAAACAGCTTGACTGGCCAGAGATCGGGATGACCCACACGAGTATTGTTAAAGTCATCTTTGGTGAATATTAAGAGTGTTGTCCCTGACAGCAAGGTTTAGCGTGGGTCAGAATATCTTCGTCAGCTACCAGAGCAACTACGACACCAGTATCCAGTGGGACAGAGCCTTGAAGTCTTGGTACGACGAGGTGGCTCTCTTCTCTCCCACAAACATTCAGCCTTTCAAGTGAGTCATCCTCCAGCCCTATACCTCAGAGACGGTAGTGACAATATTGATTATATGGTAATGGTGCTTGTTGTGGTGATGGTGTTGCTGATGGTGAATCACGGAACGGGTGGGGACTGAACCTATGGCAAGTGATTTGTTTACAATCGTGCTATTACGATTTCGTGAGTCTTCTGTATAGTAGTAACAGTAGTCGAGTACTGGCAGTGATAGTTGGCAGTAGTAACGGTAGTTGTGGTAGTGGCTAATTTTGGAAGTGTTATCAGAGCTGTGTCAGTAACAATTGTGTGCGTATGTACTCACCTATATATGGTTGCAAGGGTCGATGCACAGCTCCTAGCCCCAACACTTCGCTGGTCGCTACTAGTCGACTCTCTCATGGTTTCAAGAGCCTCATCGAGTGTGTGTGTGTGTGTGTGTGTGTGTGTGTGTGTGTACTCACCTAGTTGAGGTTGCAGGGGTCGAGTCCAAGCTCCTGGCCGTGTGTGTGTGTGTTGTGTGTGTGTGTACACTGGTTTTCAGCGGCTACTTACGGGAGAAGTGTATTTCTCTCAGTGTATATATGCTGTAAATTCAATTTAATCCTTATTTTAGGGATTAAAGTCTTCTTGTCTGGTGGTGGAAAGATTACGTGCAGCCTTAATGATCCTAGTTTAGTCGATATGGCACTAGGAGTCATTAACCAACCAACCAGCTGTTCTTGCGGTCCACTACACTCAGATGGTGTGGCCCAGCATGTACCGGGAGGGGTGAGGACACATGATGGTAGCTGTGGTAGTAATGGTAGCAGTATCAGTGCTGGTGGTAACATGTGTGTATCCACAGGTTCACTTCCGCGTTGGGCCACTACACACAGATGGTGTGGTTCAGCACGGACCGGGTGGGCTGCGGGTATACCATGTACCAGGAAGGTGGGTGGTGGAAGAAACTGTACACTTGCAATTACGGACCAGGAGGCAACATTATCCTCGATCGTATGTATACACGTGGCACCCCGTGTTCATCCTGTCCCACCGACACCTCCTGCTCTTCCAAGTATCCAGGACTCTGCAGTAAGTGCCTCGCAGTGCCAACCCTATTGACCACGTCGCTGAACAGTGCAGGAAGAGACTGACCACCTAGCTGAACAGTGTCAGAAAGACTGACTACCTAGCTAAACAGTGCCAACAAGACTGATCATCTAGCTGAACAGTGCCAGCAAGACTGACTACCTAGCTGAACAATTCTAACAATACTGATTACCCAGCAGAATAGCGCTACCAGATTAACTACCTGGCTGAACAGTGCCAACAAGACTGACCACTAAGCAGAATAGTACCAACAAGACTGACCACTATGCAGGTGAGTGCCAACAAGACTGGCCGCTAAGCAGGACAGTGCCAAAAAGACTGACTACTAAGCAGCACAGTGCCAACAAGACTGACCACTAAGTAGGACAGTGCCAACAAGACTGACCACTAAGCAGGACAGTGCCAACAAGACTGACCAATAAGCAGGACAGTGCCAACAAGACTGACCACTAAGTAGGACAGTGCCAACAAGACTGACCACTAAGTAGGACAGTGCCAACAAGACGGACCACTAAGCAGGACAGTGCCAACAAGACTGACCACTAAGCAGGACAGTGCCAACAAGACTGACCACTAAGTAGGACAGTGCCAACAAGACTGACCACTAAGCAGGACAGTGCCAACAAGACTGACCACTAAGCAGGACAGTGCCAACAAGACTGACCACTAAGCAGGACAGTGCCAACAAGACTGACCACTAAGCAGGACAGTGCCAACAAGACTGACCACTAAGCAGGACAGTGCCAACAAGACTGACCACTAAGCAGGACAGTGCCAACAAGACTGACCACTAAGCAGGACAGTGCCAACAAGACTGATCACTAAGCAGGACAGTGCCAACAAGACTGACCACTAAGCAGGACAGTGCCAACAAAACTGACCACTAAGCAGGACAGTGCCAACAAGACTGACCACTAAGTAGGACAGTGCCAACAAGACTGACCACTAAGCAGGACAGTGCCAACAAGACTGACCACTAAGCAGGACAGAGCCAACAAGACTGACCACTAAGCAGGACAGTGCCAACAAAACTGACCACTAAGCAAGACAGTGCCAACAAGACTGACCACTAAGTAGGACAGTGCCAACAAGACTGACCACTAAGCAGGACAGTGCCAACAAGACTGACCACTAAGCAGGACAGTGCCAACGAGACTGACCACTAAGCAGGACAGTGCCAACAAGACTGACCACTAAGCAGGACAGTGCCAACAAGACTGACCAATAAGCAGGACAGTGCCAACAAAACTGACCACTAAGCAGGACAGTGCCAACAAGACTGACCACTAAGTAGGACAGTGCCAACAAGACTGACCACTAAGCAGGACAGTGCCAACAAGACTGACCACTAAGCAGGACAGTGCCAACAAGACTGACCACTAAGTAGGACATGCCAACAAGACTGACCACTAAGCAGGACAGTGCCAACAAGACTGACCACTAAGCAGGACAGTGCCAACAAGACTGATCACTAAGCAGGACAGTGCCAACAAGACTGACCACTAAGCAGGACAGTGCCAACAAGACTGACCACTAAGCAGGACAGTGCCAACAAGACTGACCACTAAGCAGGACAGTGCCAACAAGACTGACCACTAAGTAGGACAGTGCCAACAAGACTGACCACTAAGCAGGACAGTGCCAACAAGACTGACCACTAAGCAGGACAGTGCCAACAAGACTGACCACTAAGCAGGAGAGTGCCAACAAGACTGACCACTAAGCAGGACAGTGCCAACAAGACTGACCACTAAGCAGGACAGTGCCAACAAGACTGACCACTAAGCAGGACAGTGCCAACAAGACTGACCACTAAGCAGGACAGTGCCAACAAGACTGATCACTAAGCAGGACAGTGCCAACAAGACTGACCACTAAGCAGGACAGTGCCAACAAAACTGACCACTAAGCAGGACAGTGCCAACAAGACTGACCACTAAGTAGAACAGTGCCAACAAGACTGACCACTAAGCAGGACAGTGCCAACAAGACTGACCACTAAGCAGGACAGTGCCAACGAGACTGACCACTAAGCAGGACAGTGCCAACAAGACTGACCACTAAGCAGGACAGTGCCAACAAGACTGACCACTAAGCAGGACAGTGCCAACAAAACTGACCACTAAGCAGGACAGTGCCAACAAGACTGACCACTAAGTAGGACAGTGCCAACAAGACTGACCACTAAGCAGGACAGTGCCAACAAGACTGACCACTAAGCAGGACAGTGCCAACAAGACTGACCACTAAGCAGACAGTGCCAACAAGACTGACCACTAAGCAGGACAGTGCCAACAAGACTGACCACTAAGCAGGACACTGCCAACAAGACTGATCACTAAGCAGGACAGTGCCAACAAGACTGACCACTAAGCAGGACAGTGCCAACAAGACTGACCACTAAGCAGGACAGTGCCAACAAGACTGACCACTAAGCAGGACAGTGCCAACAAGACTGACCACTAAGCAGGACAGTGCCAACAAGACTGACCACTAAGCAGGACAGTGCCAACAAGACTGATCACTAAGCAGGACAGTGCCAACAAGACTGACCACTAAGCAGGACAGTGCCAACAAAACTGACCACTAAGTAGGACAGTGCCAACAAGACTGACAACTAAGCAGGACAGTGCCAACAAGACTGATCACTAAGCAGGACAGTGCCAACAAAACTGACCACTAAGCAGGACAGTGCCAACAAGACTGACCACTAAGCAGGACAATGCCAACAAGACTGACCACTAAGCAGGACAGTGCCAACAAGACTGACCACTAAGCAGGACAGTGCCAACAAGACTGACCACTAAGCAGGACAGTGCCAACAAGACTGACCACTAAGTAGGACAGTGCCAACAAGACTGACCACTAAGCAGGACAGTGCCAACAAGACTGACCACTAAGCAGGACAGTGCCAACAAGAATGACCACTAAGCAGGACAGTGCCAACAAGATTGACCACTAAGCAGGACAGTGTCAACAAGACTGACCACTAAGCAGGACAGTGCCAACAAGACTGACCACTAAGCAGGACAGTGTCAACAAGACTGACCACTAAGCAGGACAGTGTCAACAAGACTGACCACTAAGCAGGACAGTGCCAACCAACAACTAGGAAATGCCCAGCAAGCGACACTTTTTGAATTATTAATTATTATTTTACAATATAAGTATTATTATCATGATAATATATATGTGTGAGTGAAAGAGAGAGAGAGAGAGAGAGAGAGAGAGAGAGAGAGAGAGAGAGAGAGAGAGAGAGAGAGAGAGAGAGAGAGAGAGAGAGAGAGAGATGGTACCTTGTGTAGCGAGAGAAGAAAAGCACCAAGGGAACACTGTGACATTTCAACGAAATGTAAACATCGTCGACTGAGTCTTCACACAATGGAGTTGGTGCTTGAGGTCAGGGCAGCAGAGTTGTGAGACCAGCAGGTCGGTGAGTTGTGAGACCAGCAGGTCGGTGAGTTGTGAGACCAGCAGGTCGGTGAGTTGTGAGACCACCAGGTCGGTGAGTTGTGAGACCAGCAGGTCGGTGAGTTGTGAGGCCAGCAGGTCGGTGAGTTGTGAGGCCAGCAGGTCGTGAGTTGTGAGACCAGCAGGTCAGTGAGTTGTGAGACCAGCAGGTCGGTGAGTTGTGAGGCCAGCAGGTCGGTGAGTTGTGAGGCCAGCAGGTCGGTGAGTTGTGAGACCAGCAGGTCAGTGAGTTGTGAGACCAGCAGGTCGGTGAGTTGTGAGGCCAGCAGGTCGGTGAGTTGTGAGACCAGCAGGTCGGTGAGTTGTGAGACCAGCAGGTCGGTGAATTGTGAGACCAGCAGGTCGGTGAGTTGTGAGACCAGCAGGTCGGTGAGTTGTGAGGCCAGCAGGTCGGTGAGTTGTGAGACCAGCAGGTCGGTGAGTTGTGAGGCCAGCAGGTCGGTGAGTTGTGAGACCAGCAGGTCGGTGAATTGTGAGACCAGCAGGTCGGTGAGTTGTGAGGCCAGCAGGTCGGTGAGTTGTGAGACCAGCAGGCAGGAGATTTGTGAGACCAGCAGGCAGGAGAGTTGTGAGACCAGCAGTCAGGAGAGTTGTGAGACCAGCAGGCATGAGAGTTGTGAGACCAGCAGGTCGGTGAGTTGTGAGACCAGGAGGCAGGAGATTTGTGAGACCAGCAGGCAGGAGAGTTGTGAGACCAGCAGGCAGGAGATTTGTGAGATCAGGAGGCAGGAGAGTTGTGAGACCAGCAGGCAGGAGAGTTGTGAGACCAGCAGGTCGGTGAGTTGTGAGACCAGCAGGCAGGAGATTTGTGAGACCAGCAGGCAGGAGAGTTGTGAGACCAGCAGGCAGGAGAGTTGTGAGACCAGCAGGTCGGTGAGTTGTGAGACCAGCAGGCAGGAGATTTGTGAGACCAGGAGGCAGGAGAGTTGTGAGACCAGCAGGCAGGAGAGTTGTGAGACCAGCAGGTCGGTGAGTGTGGAGACCAGCAGGCAGGAGATTTGTGAGACCAGCAGGCAGGAGAGTTGTGAGACCAGGAGGCAGGAGAGTTGTGAGACCAGCAGGCAGGAGAGTTGTGAGACCAACAGGCAGGAGAGTTGTGAGACCAGCAGGCAGGAGAGTTGTGAGACCAGCAGGTCGGTGAGTTGTGAGACCAGCAGGCAGGAGATTTGTGAGACCAGCAGGCAGGAGAGTTGTGAGACCAGCAGGCAGGAGAGTTGTGAGACCAGGAGGCAGGAGAGTTGTGAGACCAGTAGGCAGGAGAGTTGTGAGACCAGCAGGTCGGTGAGTTGTGAGACCAGCAGGTCGGTGAGTTGTGAGACCAGCAGGCAGGAGATTTGTGAGACCAGCAGGCAGGAGAGTTGTGAGACCAGCAGGCAGGAGAGTTGTGAGACCAGCAGGCAGGAGAGTTGTGAGACCAGCAGGTCGGTGAGTTGTGAGACCAGGAGGCAGGAGATTTGTGAGACCAGCAGGCAGGAGAGTTGTGAGACCAGCAGGCAGGAGATTTGTGAGAC